CGGTGTGCATAAGTGGTGGTGAGCGCTCGAAGGTTTGTGTGGCATGATCGTATGAAGTGGGAAAAAGAAGGTAAAAAAAACCTCGAAGTCGGTTGATGTCGGACGAAGCGGTGGCCTTGCGGTGGATGGTGACGCCGTCCTGCGTCTTGGCCAGCTGCGTGCGTGTGATCACACAATACCGCACAAAAAGAAAGTGGTGGTTGGCCAAAAAGCGTAAAAAATAAACCACGGCGCGCGTGGTACCTGCCAGCCATCTTCGGGCCGTCCCTGGACGGTCTCCACGAACTCGGCAACCATGGCACGGCCCACGTCCAGGTAGTTCTCCGCGCTCACCTGGTCCAACGCCCTCATCGGTCCCGCCTTGCGCTTCTCACCCTCTGATGTGCAGAGATTTCGGAATGCCATCAAATGAGATGAATTGTGTGCATTTAAATTAAAGACAAAAGACAAAAGACAAAGACGCGTACCGGGGGTGCCCGCCGGGCTCTTGGCAGCTGCATCAGCCTTGGATCCAAAGAGGGAGTTCCACATGTCAGCAGTCTAATCAGTTCGGCCACGCAATAAAGAACGAAAAGGCCAAAACGAACTGGAAAAATAAATAAATAATTTTCCTTGTCTGTTTCTTTCGCGTAGCAACCACCGGAGTTGAGCGCCTACAAAAACTCACCGACATCCAAATATTTCGGTGTAGCCCGCCTTTTTTCGGGCGACATTGTTCACATTTTTAAGAAGAAACGCGAGTTTGAAATGGCCATCGACTTTCTTCCCCACAGGCGCAAAATTGCCGCGAGCCGCAGGTAACAAAGCCCGGGACGATCGACACGCGAGGTGTCTCTGGTTGCACTCTCCAACGGCCCATCTCAACCCAGCTGTCTGCGTGTAACCTCTCCCCTTTCTTCCTTCTGTCTGCCTCTTTCATCATTCGAGGAGGCCGAAATCTGATACCAAGATTCCAAATCGATTTTTTTTTTCAATATAGAATTGAGATCGAGTGAGAATGGAGCGATTCTTCAACGGATTCGGCTCCTCCTCTCAGAAGCAGGCCACCATCAAGGAGGCCACAACACCAAGGAAGGAGGATGTGGCCAAAATCAACGTCGAAGACGATGAGGATTTTACACGCAAGGGGAAGGACG